CCAAAACGCGGCCCCACGTGGCACAAGACACAAAAAAAAAAAAAAAGGAAATGGTGCGAGGGATGGCGGGCAGGGATGGGGGGGGCGAGAAGAAGAAGGGAAGAAGAAGGGAAGGAGGGGGAGAAGAAGAAGAAGAAGAAGAAGAAGAAGAAGAAGAGGGTCGAGAAGAAGAAGACAAAAAAGGGAAGAAGAAGAAGGGAAGGAGGGGGAGAAGAAAAAGAAGAAGTGAAGAAGAAGAAGGGAAGAAGAAGAAGCTAAGGAGGGCGAGAAGAAGAAGAAGCTAAGGAGGGGGAGAAGAAGAAGCAAAGGAGGAGGAGGAGGAGGAGGAGGAGGAGGAGGAGGAGGGGAAGAAGAAGAAGAAGAAGAAGGAGACGAAGAAGAAGTTGACGCAGCGAAGGGGGAGAAGAAGAAGAAGACGGCTGGTGGAGAACGGCGGGAAGGGGGGCAAAGAAGAAGAAGAAGAAGCGAAGTTGAAGCGAAGAAGAAGAAGAAGAAGAAGAAGAAGAAGAAGAAGAAGAAGAAGATCTCTCTCTCTCTCTCTCTCTCTCTCTCTCTCTCTCTCCCCCCCAAACTAAGTCCCTTACCTTGTTGAGGCGGCCGTTGGGGGGGGACGGCAGGGTCACGTGCGATGGCGGGCGTTGGCAGGTGCTGGCGGGGTGCGTTGAAGTTGCGCGTCGTGCCGGCGGACACACAGTGGGGCAAGGCAGGGAAGGGGGGACGTCGGGGCACATCTTCAGCATAGGGGAGGGAACGGGGGCCGGTAGTTCCCGGCCCCACCGATTTGAAATTGGCGGAATCTGGGCTGTCGATCTTCGAGATCGACGATCCAGATGGGGACCGATTTCAAATCGGTGAAATCGGGCCTACCGGCCCCGTTTTTTTTTTCCCGCGGTCCACACGGTCTATGAAGGGGGCAAAAAGGGCCCCAGTGCCGAAAAAAAAAAAAAAAAACACTACCCTACAGTGATGCGCTGGGAGTGCCCGGTGGCCAACTGGGCGCGACAACCGGCCAGGCGGCCCGGCGCCCCCCCCCGGGCGATGGCCAGGCCGCCGGGCGGCCCAGGGACCAGCCCTGCATAGCATAGTTTTTTTTTCGGATGTTTTGGATTTTTTTTTTTTTTTTTTTTTTTCCGGGACCTTCCCTTGTCCTTGCACGGGATGGCCACCCTGGACCTGGGCGGCCCGGCTGGTGGCCTAGATCTATATTGAATATTTTGTGCTTTATATATGTTCCCAAAGAAAATTGAAACATTTGATTCATCCAATAAAATTGAATAAATCAATAATATCCTGCTCCGATGGCTAACTGCAGTGCTGAGAAAAATATGATTAGTTTTGTGCCTCCTTCTCCAAGGACTAACTGTTTCATAAATAAAACAAAAACAAGTCTGGCTGGCAGTGTCACACCTTCGGTTTCGAAAGGGGGAAAAAAAAACATGTGTCCGCAACAACATTGGGTGCGGAGTTTTAAAAGGGCAATATTGGTAAAAATTATGGCAACCGCAGACCCGAACCCGGACCCGGATCCGGACATGTCTGGACCGAGGCCCAGACATTTGTCTGGACTAGTCCAGACGTCCCGTAATCCCGACAGGCACCGGGCAACCGGACAGGACCAGACCCAGACCGTCCGGACCGGTACACCAAACACAAAAAATGTCCGGACCGGGAAAAACCAAACAAACAAACAAACATTCATAATAAACAGTACGAAACAGTACTAAACTTAGTAGATCAGTGATAAACAGTATAAGCATTCGTAGGGGGAGAGACTAAACGCAAATGAAGTCAGTTGAATGAACACAATCAATTGCAATTGCGAATAAAGGGTACGGAACATTGTACTTCACTGTCTTTCACAATTCACAACCTGACAGCTTCATACTGTCACAGAGTCACAGACATTCACAAAGGCGCACACAACACTAGAAAAGGTGCACACAACACTAGAAAAGGCTCACACAACACTAGAAAATTGAAACCAGTTCTCAACGGACCAATCCCGAGACACTTAAGAAAAGAGTACGAAAATCAGAAAGAAGCAGAACTTTGACCTATGAAGAAGGTAGACATCTTTCACGGCGGACACACACACACACACACACAAAAAAAAAAAAAAAAAAAAAAAAAAAAAAAAAAAAAAATGCATTCTAAGTTCTAACACAATGCATACCGAAGCACTCTTGGATGGGGATGAAAAAAAAAAGAAAGTGCATCGGATCTCACCTGATCGAGAGAGGGAGTGTCGTCCGCAGGTTGGGGTTGCCAATTGAGCTTAGGGTGGTCACCATCCAGTGTCAACGAAGACATCTCCTGAAGTGCTAGTGGCCATCCGAAGATGTCACTGCCATTCATCTCCTTCGCCTTGGTGAGCGATAACCTCCTGCCATGAGGACTCTCTGGCAAGGCGAACGAGCCAATCAGCTCTTTCTGCTTCGCCACATGGTCGAACGAAAGCCGCCTCTTCGGTGTTGTCGAATCTTGTTGATCTGATCCCAGACAGATCTGGCTCATTCCTCCCGCAGGCTGACAGCCACATCATTACAAACCCGACAATTAAACAGCACACAAAAGTATCATCATCAGTCTCTAGACTCTCTAATACTCTCTATGGTTTCGTGGCAAAGACTAAAGGAAACTGTAAACACTGTTAGGCATCTTTTCTCTTCTCTTGACTGTAGGAATTGCAATTTTGTACACACATTTGTCCATTGCACATATGAGGGGGACAAGTTGACCTCCCAACCCCCCACCCC